TCCTTAGATCTTTCTCCTGACACCATGATGGAACTCTGAAGTAATAGAATCTACGTGCGCGGTGGTTATTAGTCTCGAGGCAGCAAACTGCTGCGGTGCCTCGGATTTCAGATCAGGAATGCCTAGACCCCCTTGACCTGTTGCTAGGGTAATGAGTCTGCGCACCTCGTTAGGGAGAGGCTCTGATTGACCGAACAAAGTTGGGAGTAGTAAATCTTCAATCACTTCCTGGATTGGATCGACATAAACTTCAAACGATGCAATCGTGCGCATGAAGTAGGTGAACTTCGACTTGTAGCCTTTTGTGAAAGCAATATACGCCGCATGGGGCTGGCTCTTCGCTATTTCAGAGAGACGTTCGATTTCCTCTTTCCATGCACGAACCTTCTCCTCACAATACTGATCTTTGTATTCTTGCGACGCAATAACTGCTGCCAGATGGCGCTGACTTATTATTTATTATGATTATGATTATGATTATGATTATGATTATGATTATGATTATGATTATGATTATTATTATTATTATTTGTTTCCGCTTGAAGTTGGATTTTGTGGCGGTTTCGATGGTGCACAGTATAAGTAGATTTTATTCGTATTTTCTTTTTTTAACAAAACTTCATTGATTAATAGAACTCAAATTCAACAGTTGAATTGATCGCCCCTTCATAGGCACGTTCTTCCCAGCTGGACATTGTTGTCCGCCATTTTGTAAAACGGATCATGTGATACCGCTTACCTCATGGACAGGCGTGTAACACCAATCTGGCACTGGTAATTGGGCCAGTCCTGGAGTCCACACACTCACTCAGTAGTATAAATCAGTTGAATTTAGCTGACGTTTTTTTCCATAGCTAATAAATGTCGCCAAAAAAAAATTATTTAAACTAAAACTTGCAAAGAATTTTAAAAGTTGCCGAAAATCGCAAAAGGTGCCCAAAATCTCAAAAGCTGCCGAAAAGTTGCCGAGCAACTTGTGGCTGAGCCTATTGCTCGGACTCTTTCATGATAAACAACTCCTTTCAAAGATATCCCATCATAGATTTTCGGTTAAAAGTACAAACGCATGTCAACGTTAATTTATGGCTTCTAATTGTCTTTAAAATTGACAAGGAGAAAATATAAGAAAATGTATCATGAAACTCGCGTCCAGCCTTGCGTTTTCTGGTCCTTCTTTTTAGTTTTTAAATAATTCAAAAAGTCTCTGCACCAACTATAAGTAAACGATGACTAAAAAACATGTTTGATGAACAGATACATTTATTGTTTTCATGATCAGAGATGAGTATTAGTAAAAAGACGGGTTTTATTAAGACTAAGACCAGGCTGCTTTCCAGACGTCATTTGGCGTCAAAAACAGAACGATACATGGGAAGGATTGCAATTTTTCTTTATTTGTTTACAGAAGAACAAGCTAAGCCCCGAGGTCACGCGCAAAAGTAGCCTTTACGTTTTGTCATGATTGCAATAAGCAGTGTTTTCTGAGAAGTTTAGCCTTCGTGGCAGACGTATTTTAAAGGAAATATAACCCTTTATTCCTTGTTATACACCTGCTTCTACCCTTCCTCCCTCCCCTTGTAGAACCAATTTACTGCTTGTGCCTTCCATTTGAAAAGCTGGATTAGCTAATAAGTATTTCCTGTATAAGATCTCTACGAGAAATAATTAAGACTAAAATAAAAATCTAACAATCTATCCTCCAAAGGACAAAAACTTTTTTGGGGAACTCTCAGGTTCATTGGCCCTTGGTTTGAACTGAGTCACATTTTTAACTTTAGACGATCTGACTGTTTTTTTTTTTTTTTGTATATTCATCGACCTTGTAGTTTTAATACAAAGAAATTCAGCCCTCAGAAATGAAGCACTGGCCTACCTTATCAGTGAACTGGTCACCTGTTTAGACGCCGTCTGTTTTTCGTTGTTAGTGGAGGAGACCGCTATCAACTACGGTTGCAGAAACGAGAAGACAAAAACTTGGGGAGAAATCTAAAATAAAGTTTGATAAAGCCGTTAGTCCTTTTTAAAAAAATTAAACTGGTCGCTTGTGTTGTTAAACTGTTCACAAAAGCTCAAATTTAGCTGACAAAATTAAAAACAAGCCGGTTTGTGTGTCTTCCGTGTTCACTTTAGAATATTAAGAATTTATATTTTCTCTTTACCTAAATAATGCGATGCCAAATCGTATGTAACTTGACGTAACATTTTCTACTGGAATTATATTTACCTTCTTTTGAAAGGACGCTGGCAGTTTAAAAAAACAAAAACAGCAAAACGAAGAATGACCGGCGATATAAACGAGTGGAGCAAGACAAGGTCTATTGTATTCGGACTCAGAGTTTCAGTTTCTCTGTCGATCACAAAAGCACTTCCCACTGTTTAATACATTGCTTAAAAATGATAAGTACCTGAGCCTTACTTCTTAATACGTATTATTTTATGTGTAAAGGTGCTTGTTACTAGCTATGGTTATTAAGGGTGTATGTTTCCCCGTGTTTTGGAGTAGAAAAGAAATCCCTTGTTACTTTTGCGATTTTTGCGAAATTTGAGGCTTTCTCGAGGTCCTTCTTGGCCCGTTTTTTCTCTAAGTCGAGAATTTTGTTAAATTTTTTATTCGATTCTTGCTATTTTTGAGATATTTTTTAGTTGGTGTTTTTAGGTAGCAAGAAAAATCCTTGTTACTTTTGCGATTATTGAGGGATATTCGGGGCCCTTTTTGGCCTTTTCTCTTTCTCAGTGTAGAAGAAAAAGGTTAAATTGGTTATTCTTGCTATTCTTCTGATATTTGCAAGTGATTGCCTCCCAAAATTTTTTGGTGAATCATTTCTTTGGCGAAAATTGCAAAAAGAATTCGCTAGCCAATTTTTGTTCACAAGATCGTTCCTTCATGGACATATCTCAACTCTTATGAAACTTCACTATTATACTGGAATTAAACTGTCTTACCTTCTTTAAAAAGGACGCTGGCAGTTTGTAAAAACGGCAAAATGAAGACAGGTCGGCGTTATGAACGAGTGGAGTCAGACAAGGGCTAATGTATTCTGACTTGTTTGCGTTTCTTAGTCGATCACGAAGCACTTGCCACTGTTTAATATACTGCCTCCTAAAATGATTGGCATACAGCTGTACTTATTGGTATATAAAAATTAGACAGTACTTCATTAATATGCATTTTTAGTTATAGTTATTATCATTATTATTATTTTATTTAGGTGTAAAGGTGCATGTTACAAGTAAAGGTTAGCAAGGTG